GTTGATAAGAGTCCCACCCTGAACACGTCTATGTGATAATATTCAGTAATAGTGAGAGCGCCACCTAGTGGTGAAAGGAAATGTCATTTTTTATACTTTCATGTTCTACTCCTAGCAGGATGATCAGATCTAGCTGAAATTTAGTCAGGAAATGCAAAACATTTTGTTGATGATATTTCATGATTGTGGTGAGTTTTTGTTAAAGGGCATGTCCGTGGCGTGGCGTCAAACTTTGATGTACCACCAGAACACACGAAGTTGCTATAACTTGAGTGTACATTGTCCATTCGGCTCCAAACTTCACTTGTCTGATAAGAGTCTCGTCCTGAACACATGTATGTGATAATATTCACTAATAGTGAGAGTGCCACCCAGTGGTGAAAGGAAATTACATTTTTATACTTTTATGCATATCTTCCAGCAGATTGATAAGATTCAGCTGAAATTCTGTCAGGAGGTCCTTACAACGATGACAATGACATCTTATGAATCTTAAGAATTTGCATGGAACCATGTTGCCATGGCGATGCGGCGAAAATCAGCTTTTGTGTCAACATTTCAACAATTTTTGAGGGGCTAAACATGCCATGAAACTTTGCACAAATGGCGAATGAACAAACTTCTCCTAGGGAATTTATTGGATCAATGCGGCTGTAGCACACCCGACACGCGCCGAGTGCGAGGGCCCATTCATCGCTGCTTGCAGCCTTAATTTAGAAAGCATTTAAAATGTCTGCATTGTTTCACTGATGATGAAGTTGTGATTGATCAAACGTATATCTCTTCAAAATATCTGCTCAAGAAAATTTTACTAGATGCAAAATCAGCAGTCAAAATGTTCAGAAACCTTAATTCTCGCTGTGAACTATGTCGCCATAGTTTGTTAGTTTTAAAAGGGGTTCCCAGAAAAAAAAAAACGCTGGGAAATGCTGATCTAGTGGACCACTACGCTGAGTTGGCTCCGAAGTCCTTCGGAGACCCAACAGTTCCTACCATGAGCAAGACCTTGGAGAAAACGGCAAGGAAAAACGTTCTTTTAAGAGGCAGAAACCTCGGACAGACCCCGACTCTAGGTGGGTGGTCGTCTGCCTCGACCAGTTGGGGGTAGAGGGGACAGAGAAATAGGTGTACAGCAACAACAGTAGCAACAACTATACTAATAGAAATGACTGATAATGAACAATACAATGGAGGTGAATGGAATAACATTATTTTCAGTGCTTTGAGCACCAGCAACAAATGTCCATTTACCTCCATTGTTCTCTGCTGGGGCCACAAATCTGATCTCAGACCTGCCAACCTGTATGCATTTTGCATAGCAGATGTTCCTTTGATCTAAAACTCTATTTTCCTTTCTAACATTACACTGTCCTGTTGTCTCGATACTTATTGACCTCTCTTCTCTCTCGTTTTCATTTACATATATGGTGTTGAGGTGATCCAAAAGTAATGGAAAGTAGTCAAATTCAGGTAATTAGTAATGGTACCTATTACATTTTTAACGACTCATTCATCAAAACATGTATCCACACCAGGCCAGTAAAGGAGAAAAGCTTCATGTTGTTATTGATATTTATACCCAAACTCAAGTAACAGATGTAATTAATACGCAGGCTCACTCCTGAGTAAACTGCAGATGTTAATGCAGAGCTCCAGTTTATGAACGTGAACATGGATCATACACAGACTCGAGTCCTTCAGAGTGTTTTATTCCTCTTTAAGACAAAAGACAAAACAAGTTTCATTTTGCATAACAGTAGTACAGCAGCGGCCGAGGGTATAAAACGCTTTATTCCATTTTTCAGTGTAAAAATAACTCTACTCATACCTCACACCTGTGCCGTCCTCTCGTAGTGCAAACGCTTCAAATAAAAGTTAGGCACATGATGGATACGATACGATCGCAGTTCAATTACACTTAAGTGCTGATGACAAGTAAAACGTCATTCGGAATTCCTTTTGTTTGTGGATTCCCAGTTCATAATGTCCAACAATCGCAGACTGAAAGAAGTGATGACAGCTGGAGTTTAAATAGCGATAAAAGGGCAGTTTAACTTCCTGTTTGTAGCCATTTAACATCTGATGAAGCTTGATATAAAATAAAAAATAAAAAGACCTACAGTCCTATCCCAGCCGACGGGATGAACATTATCTGCGCCGGCTTGTTCGACTAAGTGCAACTGAGTTTAATACTATTTCAAAAAACAAATGACATTGCAAGCTTATGGTCCCAAGCAACAATCACAACTCCTCACAAGTTGCTGCTTCTGCTTGTAAATATCTGAGCGAGCGTTTAAGTGGCAACTTGACATCTTTTCTACTTTTAAGGAGAAAAAAAAATGAATAAAAACTAGCTCCAAAAACAAACAAAATTAAGTAAAATATTTCCCAGATTTACATATGATACAAATAAAAAATAAATATCAGCTCTGTTTTTAATCTAGGCATATTTTTTTTTTTTTTACGATTCATCCACAAAAATAAAGGTACAAAGAGCGACCGTCGTTCTTTTCCGACTAACACAGTGCAGCTTATTTTTTCAACAAGTGTTGCTCCGCCATCAGGAGGCCAGCACGCCTCGGCGGATGATGTCAGACCCGTAGCGCCGACCGAGAGACGAGTCCCCCCTCAGCTGGTGGGAGTGGCATCGTTTCAAGCAGGGCTCCATCTCGCCGTCGCCCGGTTTGGAGTCGGACGCGTAGCCGTCGTTCTCCGTCCCCGTGCGGAGTCTGGTCCTGGGGTACGGCGTTTCTGGCGTGTTGGTCAGCGGCCTCAGCAGCGGCTTGCGGTGCTCCACCTCCTCCGGCTCCTCCTCCTCCTCCTTCTCCTTCATCGTCAGAGGCTTCCCGCCCCTCTTCGGGATCCTGAACTTCCCCCAGCCTTTCAGGTGTCCGGCCGTGGTTCTGTTGGACGTGTGTGAGCCGTTTGCGTGGGCTCTCCTCAGCCAGCCGTTGGCTCTGGCGGCGGCGGCGGGCGGCGTCCGGGACCACGCCGGCTCTGTTGGGTTTAGTGTTGGTCGTCACATCCAGAGAGACGGGGCTTCTTTTGGTCATTCCTTCGTCCATCAGGTAGTCGTCGGTGTCTGAGCTCCTGATGTCTACCAGCCTGATGGAAACGGTTTTCTCCAAATGTTTTGAGCCGAACCGGTTCTTCCCCTGGCTCGGGAAACTTTCCATCCCGTTGCCCCTCTTCTTCCTCTTCCTCTCCTCTTGTTCGTGGTCGTCTCGTTTCTGTCTGGCCAGCGCCTCGTGCTCTGCGTCCCTCCTCGGGCCTTTCCTGCTGTCGGCTTTGCGCACTTTGACGGTGAGCGTTTCCTGAACCACTTCCGGCTTCTGAAGCTTTGGGAACTGAGTCTCCTGGCTGATTTCGGAGTTTGGGATTTTGGCGTCGCTTGTGGCCTCAGCAGGTGCAG